TAAAATGCTTATATGGTCATAGAGCAGTGGTTCTCGACCCCATTTGGGGTCGAACGACCATTTCACGGGGGTCGCCAAACAAGGCTGTCCGCCGTTTTTTCCCCCTTTTCTTTGGCCATGCCCTTGGCACCCAGTGATGTATAAGTGGTTGGGGGTCACCACAACATGGGGAACTGTATTATGGGGTCGCGGCATTAGAAAGGTTAAGAACCACTGTCATAGAGTATAGGTGGCCCATTTTTTTTTCTTATGTCAAATGTGGAAAAGACATTGACACCCTTCTGCAGTTTTTGATCACCAGCAGTTATAGGTAATGCTCAACTTACAGCCATTTGTTTAGTGACTGTTCAAAGTTACAACACTGAAAAAAGTGTTGTTTATTACTATTTTTCACACTTACAAGCGTTGCATCATCCCCACGGTCATGTGAACAAAATTTGGACACTTGGCAACTGGTATGTATTATGATGGCTCCAGTGTCCCGGGATCATGTAATCAACTTTTGTGACTTTCTAACAAGGAAAATAAATCTGGCCATCTTTGGGGAATGAGGACTCGCTATATTAGAGCGAGTCCTTGTTCCAGCCCCTCAAAAGGCTCATCCTGTAGTACTGGTGACAGGGGAGTACAGGGCCCTAGTTGTAGGCTGCTGTTGCTTAATGCCAGGTCCGTTGTCAACAAAGCCCCCCTTGTCCGTGATTTAATATTGGACAGTGGGGCGGACCTGGCATGTATAACCGAAACTTGGCGGCCCTGAGGGGGGTGTCTCTCTCTCGGAGATGTGCCCGGACAGGTTTGTGGTGCTTCATCAGCCTCGACATCAGGGCAGGGGTGGGGGAGTGGCAGTCATCGCTCGGAAGTCCTTGAGTCCTCGTGGGATTCCTGCCCCGGAGGTTGTTGAGTGTGAGTCCCTCCTATTGAAGTTGGGTTCACGGGTTCAGTTGGGCTTGCTGCTGACGTACCTACCTCCCAGCTGCATTGCAACAGCCCTGCCTGCGTTGCTGGAGTCAGTAGCCGGGTTGGCGGTGGAGTTCCCCAGACTTATGGTACTGGGGGACTTTAACCTACCATCACTCGGCGATCGCTCAGAGGCGGCGCAGGAGTTCATGGCTTCCATGGCAACCATGGACCTGACCCAGGTAATCCAGGATCCGACTCATAGGGGTGGTCACATACTCGACCTTGTGTTTTTCTCAGGGCAATGGAGACATGATCTGGAATTAGGGGGAATAGAGATCTCACCCTTGTCATGGACAGATCATTTCCTATTGAGGCTGGACTTCAGAGCATCACTCCCCCATCGCAGGGAGAGGGAGCCGACTAGGTGGTTCCGCCCCAGGCGCCTAATGGACCCAGATCGGTTCCAGGAGGAGCTTGGGGAAATACCTGATTCTCTTGTCCACAACTCGTCTGGGTCCCTGGTTGCGGCCTGGAATGAGGCGGCGTCTGGGGCCCTGGATCGAATTGCGCCTTTGCGACCTCTCTGTGGTGGTGGTCCCCGGAGGGCGCCTTGGTTTACTGAGGAGCTCCGGGAGATGAAGCGCCACAAGAGACGTCTAGAGCGACGTTGGAGGGCCAGTAACTCTGAATCTGACCGATCACTATTAAGAGCCTATCTTAGGACTTATTTAGTGGCGATAAGGGCGGCAAAGCGTGTTCACTTTTCCGCACTTATTGCGTCCGCAGAATCTCGCCCGGCCGCCTGTTTAGGGTGACCCGCTCCCTTCTTAAAGTGGAGGAGGCGGAGGAACCCTTGCAGGGGAGAGCTGAGGAGTTTGTTCAGTTTCTCTCGGACAAAATCGCTCAGATTCAGAGAGACCTGGACTCCAACTGGGCAGTGCCAGCCGAGTTGCCGGGGGCTGGTCTTAGTCATGTTATCTGGAGCGAGTTTGAGCCTGTGACCCCTGATGAAGTGGACAAGGCCGTGAGGGCAATGAATGCCGCCACCTGTTTATTGGACCCGTGCCCCTCCTGGCTGGTTTCTGCCAGTAGGGAGGTGACACGAGGCTGGCTCCAGGCAATAATCAATGCCTCCTTGATGGAGGGGTCTTTCCCGCAACCTTTAAAGGAAGCGGTGGTGAGGCCCCTCCTCAAGAAGCCTTCCCTGGACCCAGCTGTTTTGAAGAACTTTCGTCCTGTCTCCAACCTCCCCTTTGTGGGGAAGGTTGTAGAGAAGGTGGTGGCGTCCCAACTCTTGCGATCCTTGGATGAAACTAATTATCTGGACCCTTTTCAATCTGGTTTCAGGCCCGGCTACAGCACTGAGACTGCTTTGGTCGCACTGACCGATGACCTCTGGCGAGCCCGGGATAGGGGTCACTCCCTCTATCCTGGTGCTTCTTGACCTCTCAGCGGCTTTCGATACCATCGACCATGGTATCCTTCTGCGTCGTCTCAGAGAGGTGGGGGTGGGCAGCACCGTATTGCGGTGGTTCTCCTCCTACCTCTCTGACAGGTCGCAGTCGGTGCTGGCGGGCGGACAGAGATCGACCCCTAGGCGCCTCGATCATGGGGTGCCTCAGGGCTCGGTTCTGTCCCCCCTCCTTTTTAACATCTACATGAAACCGCTGGGTGAGATCATTCGGCGACACGGGGTGAAGTATCATCAGTACGCGGATGATACCCAATTGTATATCTCCACCCCGTGTCCTTTCAGTGAAGCAGTTGACGTGATGTGCCGGTGCCTGGAAGATGTGAGGGTCTGGATGGGGGTGAACAGGCTTAGACTCAACCCTGACAAGACCGAGTGGCTCTGGGTCTTGCCTCCCAAAGGTCAACTGGATGGTCCATCATTAGTCCTGGGGGGGGCAAATTTACCTCCCTCAGTGCAGGCACGCAACTTGGGTGTCCTCCTGGACTCACAGCTAAATTTGGAACAACATCTATCGGCTGTGGCCAGGGGGACCTTTGCCCAGGTTTGCCTGGTGCACCAGTTGCGGCCTTATATGGACCGAGAGGCTTTACTCACAGTCACTCATGCCCTCGTCACCTCAAGACTGGATTACTGTAATGCGCTCTACATGGGGCTACCCTTGAAGAGCGTTCGGAGGCTGCAGTTGGTTCAGAATGCAGCCGCGAGAGCGATTGTGGGCGGGCCAAGGTACGCCCACGTGTCATCTATCCTCCACGAGCTGCACTGGCTTCCTGTGGGTCTCCGGACGCAATTCAAGGTGTTGGTTATCACCTTTAAAGCCCTTCATGGCATAGGGCCAGGTTACTTACCGGACCGCATACTGCCGCACAGTTCCCAGAGACCGGTGAGGTCCCATAGATTGGGCCTCCTTCAGGTCCCGTCGGCCAGACAATGTCAGCTGGCGGGCCCTCGGGGAAGGGCCTTTTCTGTGGTGGCTCCGACCTGGTGGAATCAACTTCCCCCCGAGGTTCGAACAACTCCCACCCTGCCGGCCTTTAAGAAAGCCGTTAAAACTCTCCTGTTCCAGCAGGCCTGGGGCTGATGTCCCCGGGGGGGCGGGACATGATCGGACTTGCGGTATGATTGAATTATTTTATTGTTTTATTCTCGATGATTGTTTTAATTTTGTACGCCGCCCTGAGTCCTTTGGGATTGGGCAGCATATAAATAAATTAAATAAATAAATAAACGGGGAAGCAAGATTCACTTAACTGTGCTACTAATTTAATAACTGCAGTGATTCATTTAACAACTGTGGCAAGAAAGGTTGTAAAGTGGGACAAAGCTCATGTAACAACTGCCCTGCCTAGCAATGGAAATTTTGGACTCGATTGTGGTCGTAAGTCAAGGACTCCCTTTAATATGCTGTGCCCACATTTTGATATTTTTATATCAATGTAATTCCCTGTTGATACTTGCTAAATATTTCTGTATTAAGCTAAAAGACCTAATTTCAATTTACAGCTACAGAATTTAATTTGAAAATGGAACCATTGGTTCAGCTACAAAGTCAATAGCTTGACTGACTAGTTTTGCCTTACACTTTCTTAATAAATGGGTGTTGTCCAAAGTTGCTTGTTTCCTCTTAACAAAGAAAAATATTGTACAAGGGTGTAGTAATTGTGCATACACATATTTCCCTGCTCAATAAAAGAACAGGGAAACATGTGCCTCAGAGTTATTGTCCCATTTCCAATGTGCCAAATTACCCATTCGTTTTTTTAGAATATAGTATTTTGTGCCTTGTGTCCAGAAACATGGGAACAGGGCACATTCATTAGTTCATAATTAAGTACGAGGGTTATCCTTTGAAAAGTTGGGATAGATTCTTAACTGTTTTAAGTCAACAGAGAAATCTAGGTAAATATTTCTTTGAAAGTTGGGGGGTTGAGGTAGTTTTAGAAATCCTGCTCTTGCAACTGCATGTAATATCAAATCAACAAATAAGCCCTATTTCCAGATTGTTTACTTCTTACCTTTGAGATGCAAAAGAGAAGCTAAAAAGGGAGAAGAAGAGAGCTATGGGTCAAAATAAGCTCAAATGATTCTATAGTGTAGTCATGGAATTTGAGTTAATGGAAGCCAATTTTTAGTCAAAAAGGTACGTGGGAATATTTAAAAGGAACTAGCAGGCATCAGTTGGCATACAATATCATAGAGTATCTGTCACATTATATCCTCCCAGCCCCCAGTAGAGCTGGTGACTTTTTTCCCCTTCCCTTCCCTTTTTTCTTCTTACTGAGATGAGGTCATTCAGATAAACTCACTCTCCCTCTTCCCCCCCCCCAAACTTAAAAAAAAATCCACAGAGGCCTTTATGTTTTTTTAATAATTGGCAGCAGCAGTGCTATTCTCCTCCCTTTCCCCCCTCCCTCTCTTTCAAGTGATGAATAGCTGGCCCTAGATCAAAGGCAAGCCCTAGGGTTTTTTTGGCTGCCACAAAAGGGCGTTGGAATTGGCAAAGCTCCCAGCTGCTTAGTGATAGGCATGCAGACGAAGTGCCAGGCAACAGAGGTCAGTGGCAAAATGTCTGTACACGTTCTTCATCTGAGATAATCTGGTTTCCCTTTTTGTTTGTGTCTTTCAGGCCAACAGCAAGTTGAAGCAGATTGAAAAGGAATACAGTCAGAAGCTCGCCAAATCTTCACAGGTAGGAAACAAAAAATGAAGCATACACAATGATATTTCTTTAGGAAAGTTTTCTCTCTTTTTTTGTCTTTTCAGTTAAAGATGAAAACAGAAAAACCACATTGATACCTATACTTATATTACCAGGATTTATTCTAACACCTGTTTCCTTTCCATAAAGTTAAATTCTGCTATTGGCAGATGTTACTTCGCTTTTTACGGTTTATTCTCACATGTTACCCACCCACTCAATATCAGTAAATTTAAATAATGAATTTGCCAACCTGTGGCATTAAAATGAAATTCTACAAATACACAGTCTGGTTCTTACAGTAGTGTTAATTTAGTTATAAGGAGAAGCTAACATCTCACATAAATACCAGAATTGGGTCATTGGATCTAGCCAGCTAATCCTAAGAGGTTATCTCTGTGTACAATATCCATGGCTGTTTTAGTTTTCATCTTTACTCTAGGGTGAAAAAAGAAAGAAATTGGTAGGTTACACACAATCTCCTGACTTTGCAGTGCTGTCAACCCAGTCATGCCATTGTAGATGGAAGTGGAAAGAGAAATAAGAGATTCTAGTGTCCTTTATCATGGCTGGGACTGAGGCCTAAAAAAAGATGGTCAGTTCCTACATGCTTAGGACATCCTGGATTATATATTACTTGAACATGGAGATATTTGCCGTATTTAGGTGGGGTGAAAGATGATTGATTACAAATTATTGTGAGTACATTATCCCATAAGACACTAGTATTTGGGCATGATGTTGCTTTTTAATTTTTTCTCCCTGTGCAGATACAATCTTTATGATAACATCATCCTTGAATATAGAAACACTGATAGCATTTGGGGGGGGGTGTAATTTTAAATAGATTGCTCCTGTCTAGCTCTACCTTTTCAGATAAAGTTCTTTCAAGAGTAGTTGTGCCCACATCAGTCCACCAGTAAAAACAACTATGTTGAACTGTTCAGAGGTATCCCAGTGGTCAACATGTTCCTTCTCTTGCTTACTTTGGTAATTCTATAAAGAATTCAATAATTCTATATTGGCTTCTATCAAAATTGGAAAGGGCATTTGCTCCATTTTCCCCCTTCTTGCTTGGAGAGGAAGGGTCAGATTTCTATAATATAGTTCAATTGATTATTGCGCTGTTATTAGTATAGGTTAAGCATGACCAAATTATATTTACATTTACTCTTTTAATTATGAAGAATAATTGTTCATTAGTACAGCCTGGTGGAACTCATTTTGTATCATTAGGAAAATAGTAGAAAGCCATAAATGTGGTATCAGTGGAGAGATAACATAGAATGGAAAGGAAGACTAAATAATTATTTTAAGGCTTGCACTGACTCCTCCCTGAGCATTAGATCTGCTGGAACTTGATTACTTTATTGCACAAGCAGAATGAAAATAGTTGCTTGAAATATATCTCCTGCATATTATGCAGTCTGGCCTAGATGTTACAGCACCATAATCAAACTTGGGAAAGCTAAACAGGGTCAAATTTGGTTAGAAGGTATGGGTGTAAGGCTTCCAGGAAATCTCAGTGTGTAGGCTAGACTGGGAAAAAAGATAGGCCATGGCAAACCCGTTCCATATAGTTGCCAAGAAATCTACTTGGACATATCCATGAAATCCTTATGGTAAAGTTCAGCTACAAGTAGATACAGCATTTATATAGACACCCATGGAAATAATTATTCCCAATTAAAATATAAAAGCCTGAAATGCTGACGCCGCTGAGGGTGTGAATATACTCTGGGAAACCAATGGACACCCTTCTAATCAGTGTGTTTGTGTATTTGCTTGTATTTACAGAAGTCTAATAGGATGAGTCGTGTATAAAATATGTTTTTGCCATTAGAAATTAATTTAAAATTGAACTTCATCTACAATTCTGTCACCTTAATTTCTCTTAATTTTTCAGTGGCCTGGCTACCATTTAAACACAGTTTTGTAATGTAAATAATAGGTTATTTGTAAATTGTGTATGGTCTCTAACTTTCTATTGCCTACTGGGCCATTTTCAAAAGAAAATGTACTTCAAGAACTTGTTTGTAAATGTGTTCAGAATAAATAATATTTCTTTCCCCCCTCCCTAAATATTAGTGCCTAATCATTGGTTTGCTTACTGCTTTTAGAAGTTATGTGAGCATCATTTGATGTGAATTGAAGCATAAAACTGGATTGTTTTAAAAGGAATAGATTCAGTCTAGGAATGGGCAGAGTGTTTCATTCATTTATTCTTTCTTGCATGAAACAGCTGATTTTGTAGGTCCCTGTTCAAAACAAAGCTTGGTTTGTAGCAATTTGTGGATCAAAATGTTCCAGACTGAAGTGATGTGTATGAAGGTAAGAGTAGGGCAAAGCTAAGACTGACAACTATCCTTAGTGATGATGCACGTGGACATCTGCAGCAGCTGCTATTGAGAGGAGATAGAGTGAAGACCCTGGCAAGATTGGGGTTGATGCAGTATGCCCTCCTGGATCATCACTGGTGAATATGTGCACTGGAGCATTAGCAACAAAAGCAGCAACTGATGTGAGAGAGGAAAAAAACATCCTGGAAGAATCAGGACATGAGTGTCAGAGGAGAGATAGGGTGGAAGATGCTAAGAAGATTAGGGTGGGTGACTCAATAGACAGACAATGTGGAGTACAAGATGCAACAGATTTGGGGATCTGGCAATCACCCTGGGATCCCTTTGGATTTTGCTGTGTGCAGAATCCAGAACAGCTAAAGCATTCTGAGTTTTGCTTCAGCTGAATTATTTCAGATTAAGCTGTGAAACTTACCCCTATTGGGGTATTCTCTCCTGGTCTTTCTGATCCCTTCCCTCCCTGCTTCCCTTTAGCCAGGGATGTTCCAGTATAGGCATTGGTTTAAATAATGATTTGGCAGCACTTCTAGAACGCAATAGTTTCAGCTTTGAAACAAAATATATTTTTTATTTTGCACACCCCTATTACTATAGCATTATGTAAGGAACATTTGCTTCCTTTGAATTATTTTTCTGGCTACAAAATCAAATGAAATATTCAAATTAAAAAGCTGCAAAATAGTTCCTAGATTTTTTTTTTTCCTTACTGGAATTCAGTTTAATATTGCAGGGTATCTTTATATGGACAAATGCTTCAGTATCCTTACTATGTGATCCCCTCTGCATTACTACAAGCTCAGTCAAATAGTATTCAGAAGAGTTTACACCAAGTTATCATTTCCCAATCTGGTCTTCTCTAGATTTGCTGTTGCAACTCCAAAATGCCTTGCCAGCATAACCAATGGCTGAGTTGCAATCCAAAAACTTTTGGAAAGCACCAAGGTAGGGAAGATTGTTGTACGTAAGTGTATTAAGTATTCCATCCTTTAGTAGTAATTAAATGTTATAAAATTTAAAATATGTAAACAAAGACAATTCACTTTTACAGTTGTGTAATTCAATTTTTGTTCATTTTAGTCGCAAGGCATAGATTTCAATGTTAAATTAATATACAACATAGATCAAAGTCTGTTCTGTGCACTTGCAAAGTCTCTCCATATTATAACCCATAAATATCCTGAAAAAGACAAAGTGGCTGACTTGTAACTAGGGTTCTTTAATCTAGGGACATACATATGACTTATGCAATTTCAGAGAAGCATTGTCTAAATCTGGCATGTGTACCCAGTCCTAGCAGCTAGTAATGTGGCCCCACAAAATTGTAAATTTTTATTATTATTGTGTGGTTTTTAGTGATATTTATATACATTAATCGTACTATATATTTGATATGGGGCGGAAGACAATTCCTCTTCGCTAAGTGCAGCCCAGGCAAGCTAAAAGGTTGGTCCAACAGATAGTTATATTGTGTCTTCCCTGCTATATGGGTGTGAAAAATGGTAGGTTGTTGGTGGGTGTGAGTAACAGCACTGACCCTGATTACTCCACACTTCCCCCCACCCCTTACTTGTAGAGTCTAGGGGATGGGGAGAGAGAGACCTAAGAAGTGGAAAGTGCCAATTTCCTTTTGCAGCAGCTGAGAGTTAAAAATTCACTGACAGATTACAGTTTTACATATCTGGTGATCTACACTGCTATAACATGTATATATGTCAGATGGTCAGGGGAATTGATGATTTAATTAGCCATGCCATGCTGTAGCAACTGAGAAGGGCTGGGTTGCCTGCCTAAGTTCCCCCAAGTCCTCTAGTACTGCCTGTTCTTTTGCTCTACCTTTGTGGAATAGCTGTTAGGCTGTATTTCTGCTGCTGCCACCTATTTTGGGGAAATACTTTGACCTAGCCTCCTCCTCTGATCACAACAGAATGTGAGACAAATAGGGGATCTCACACTCTGAAGACCATTACTTGCCAGGGAATAAATTCTTAGTTGAAATGAAATAGCAGTGTCACTGTCATAAACCAGCACAAGTAGTTATTTTCATTTATACGGCTTCAGTCTAAAAAGACTTTGAGAGCATTTATGAAGAAGCTTTGCCTAAATTAAACTTTAGATATACGTGTGTAAGATTAATAAACAAACAAACAAACCCAGTGCTTTAAGTCCTGATGAATTCAATAACAGTTAAGTATAATAAAAACAATGAAAAAGAAACATGAACTCTATACTGCCACCTCCTGGTCACTGTAATTTTAGGAGTGTGACCAGAGAAAATAATTCCTCCTCTCCTTCTGAGGTGTTGGAACAAAAGCACAATTTATATTTTAAAAATTAACTATTAAAAATAAAAATGTAAAGATTACTTTTAGCTTTAGGAATCACGTACAAAGCCAATTACAGATGGAAAAATAAAGAACATAATGCCAATAAGACAGCAAACAATGTCTTAAAATTAATGTCCCATAAAATGCTATCAGAGCGATTGGGTACAGATCCACACTGGGGGAGATCTGTAGCTCAAAGGGCCTAAGAAGGAACAAAAATACAGGAAGCAAAGTTGGCCTTACAAACTTCAAACGCGAAAGTTACCAAGGGCAATTTCCAAGAAACAATCAAGCAGACACACCCACA